ACTAAGCTCGCATAAGACTGAAAAACAATAATATTTCATGTTTGGCATTTTTTTGGGTTTGTATCCATTCAGAAGTTTTTATGACGAATAATTTTTTTTGTTAAAGTAAAAAGTTTTCCATATTCAGCTAACTAAAGTAGACAGTGTAGTAGAAGTTATGTTTCATTAAATTATGTTTGGTTGTGTTGTGCATTTAATTACTAATAAAATTAGTTTAAAGTGTTACACTTTACCATACGTAGCAGCAGTGGCGTAGATAGCTTTTTGCGAGGGGGATATGATATCATGTATAATGTTGCAGTAACAGTTAAAAAATTACGTAAATTCTAGCTTTTACTAGTTAATTAACATTTACTGACAGTAAGCCAGAAAAATAATTTCATATTTTCAAACTTTTATTTAGTTTTGTTATTGCAAATTAAAATGAACAACAAAAACAAATCAGTTTTCTTTAAATGTTAAACTAACAACAAATAAGTGCATGAAACATATTTTAAACATAAAACATTCATTATAAACGACAACTAACAAATATTGAGGATTCACAATGACGAAAATAGATCTTAGTACAGATGTAGGTAAAAACTTTCATTGCTTTAGGTATGATATACCTTTCTATGCCTAAAAGTTTCTACATCTGTAGTACTGAGATCTATATCCTGTCATTGTTAACTCCCAATATTTTGTTAACGATCTGCCACTGCTTTTTGGAAATATTGCCAATAGAAGGTTTTTGAATTGATACCCTGTATACAGGGTGTATCAACGATGCGTGGGTGAACGATAGCTGCTTCCCTATATGAGGTAGGAAAAAATGCTTCAAATAAAAGTTGTAGAGGGCATTGAAAGCTACGTTCCAAAAATAACTACCAATATACAGGGTGTCCGATAAATGTATGAGTTATCGAAGTAATGTTTTTTTAAAGGAAACACCCTATATATTTTTACTCGATTAAATTTCTTTGGAAGAGTGTTTCTCAAAAATATAGGGTTGTATGGGTTTATACTGGGTGGTTAGGAATTTATGGTGAGATTTAGGTAACAAAATGGGTTTATTCAACATCAAATATCTCTAAATCAATAATTTGGAATACATTTTTTTTCTGCCGAATATTTTTGAAAATAGTGTATTTTCATTTCCTATTCATAATTTTACCGAATGGCGCTTTTCCCATACAGGGGCAACCAAAACTCGGGACCACTTTTTTCTCAGTTTTTTCAAATGGAACACCCTGTAAATAGGCCATACCAGGATAGCCCATACCATGAGCTTTCAGAAAATGTAGGGTTTGCCTACTTGATTTTTATCGGAAATGTATCTAATTCATTCTTAAGGAAAGTATAAAAAAGTTATATATATATTGGTAGTTATTTTTGGAACGTAGCTTTCAATGCCCTCTACAACTTTTATTTGAAGCATTTTTTCCTATCTCATATAGGGAAGCAGCTATCGTTCACCCACGCATCGTTGATACACCCTGTATATTGTTTTGTAACAAAATGATTTTATAATTCGATTTTTTTTCTGTTAGTTATTATTAAATTTTATTTCATTTGTAACCAGATTTCGTTAGCAACGTTTCTTCTTTCTCTTCAGGATCACCATCAACTTATTTTTTTTTAAATAAGAGCCAATATGCTACTTGAGAAAAGAGGAACTAATTTCAAATTTTGGTTGTTATAATTAGATTATTTTTGCATGCATATATTTTTAATATAGATCAATGGCGTGCCATTTTAGAAAGGGGGAAATAGGAGTGATATTTTTAATGTAGATCAGTGGTGTGCCGTTTAGAGGGGAACATATTGTGTGATTATTTTTCTATTTATTACAATTTTAATTAATAAATATATCTAATTTTGCTATTTCTTTCTCTTTTCAGTGCCTTAAAATCAATGTGCCGAATCGCTATTAGTCCGAAAAATGTAACGGGTAGGAGTTGTGTTGGAGTTGCTAGTATATACATCAATTTTACTCGGTTTTAAAATTAGTTTTTTTTTCGAAAAGCAACTCATGTTTGTCGACAACGCCTATGCCGATGGGACACATGTGTCTGTTGTATCGACATAGGCGATGTGGTGATGTGTGATCGTTTCTTCTGACAATAAAGACGTTGGATCTTCAGAACTTTACACCTTCCGAATTTATTTTCTGTGGAAAAAGTACGATCGGAAAATGATTCTGCAGGATTTAGTTTTTCGAAGGTGTAAATTCTGCACAGATCGAATGGACAAGGCTGCAGAAATTCTAGCCGGCAATGGTTTTACGATTTTTATTAAACTCAAATGAACTTACTTGGAAAACACCGTACTTTTCTTAATATATATAGACTTGTTAATAAATATAGGTACAACTATTTTTCTATTTTTTATTTATTAAAAAAAGCACTTGGCACTACAAAAAACATCCTCTAATTTAAAGAGTAGGAAATAACTTTTATTTTGAATTTTAACATCCTGTAACATAAAAATGTACGCTTTTAGAATATCTTTTTATTAAGCAAACTCTTCATAGTTTTCAGAGTCATATCTATTTTTTCTTTAACACCTTGTGTATATATCATATACATTGTGTTTCTATGATTCACCCTTCAAAATTTATTTGCAAAAAATATAATGTAATTTTGTTGGTTACCAAGTATAAAAAATTGAGTTTAATAATAACGTGGAGGCATTGAAGGTTGGCATTGAAACGGAATGAGTTATTGAGTATTGAGGTCAGGATGAAAGATCGTCGCCGGGAACAGAAGATTTCCGGATTGAAATATATCGGGTGACGCGAAAAAATGGTGACGCAAATAATTTGGAAAAATGGAGAACGATTGGAACATGCGACTTCGTTAACTTCAATTATTGGAGGTGAGTGTTTATTAATTTATTATACCTTCGATGCCATTTTTAAATATATAAATAAGTAAATTAGGTAAATAACTGTAAAAATTTGTTTGTCTGGAACATAGGCACCCTCTATAATAGCTGTTTACGATTCTTTAATGATTGGTACTGTCAAATTATTGGCGATTTTTAAATTAAGCTCTAGAAATATCACTTGACTAATCGGGTCACAGTGCCACTAAAGAACAATGTAAAACAACCAGTGTTGTCTCTCAGAGTTCGAATTTTGATATGTACCTATTATTATGGTGATTTTATGCATACATAGTTTTTTTTGCCATCTGCTGCAAAATATTGAGAACATACTTGAGGTATAGATTTCCTAAAAAGCCAATATAGTAATAAATAGAACATAAGGTTTTTAGATATCAAATGGAATCATTTTTCTTAATATGTTTAGATTTACTAGATATTCTAAATTATAAAAATGTAACCAGTATTTAATTACAAAATGTTCAGAAAATATTTCTATTTAAGTGTTTGAAGTTTACTAATATCTATACGGGGTGAACCACTGGTATCGCTTCGTTTTCTAAAACCAAAACTATATTTTTCATATAAAACATATTTTTTTGTAAACGACTCAAAAGAATTAAAATTTACTCCAAATAAATCAATTTAAAATATTAAAAAAAATTTAAGATGATTTGTATTTTTTTAAACACCACATATTTTTAAAAATACTTGAATCTATCAAAAATTATATACTCTAGGTATAACATATTCTTAATAAAGTTACTAAATTTCAAAGATGCAATAAAATTCAAAGTGCCCCATAAAAAAAAGTAACTTTGATATCACTATATTAATGGAGCAACCTATATAATTGATTTTTTTTAAATTGTTGCAATTAGTTTTGGCTCTACATTCAGACTGAGGCATTACTGGTGGCTTACACTATATATACATATTATGTAATTCATACTATCTTGAAAAGAAGGAAATATCCCATAGCAGGGTACCAGAAAAATAAAATGTACTAGAAAAATTTAAAATAAAACTTAAGATGAAGTAAATACCAAACTAAAAAAAAAAAACTAAATATAGGGTGTTCCGAATAGATTTGTCATAAATTATTAATTTTGACTCATATTCTCTGGAGTTAAAAAAAGGCCAATTGAACCTAGGTACGAAAGTGATCAAAATGATCAAATTACAGGATGATTCAGTTAAAAATGTAAATTAATTTTTAATGTTGTTCTAAAACAGGTTAACATTAATTTATGAAAATTTACATCTAATACTAGTGTGTACAATGTAGCAGTAGTTGCATTAATATAATTTAATTTTTATATTTTTAAATTGAAATTTAAGAAAATGGCTGTATCTTCTAAATTAAGATTTTTACAAATACTAAGAAAGAAAAAAGTTTTAAAATAGATGTGTGATTCCAGTGGTATTTCGTTTTAGAGCTTGATTTTTAAATTTTTGAGTTAGATTTTTTTTTTAATTTTAACCCCTCCTTAACCCCAATTTATTTAGATTTTTTTCAGAATCAATAAGCTTTATTTTCTTATATAGCTTGATTTTAACGAAAAATTTCATGTTGTTATCCCTTTTCGTTTTTAATTTGTGATTTTTTAATTTATTTTCATCCCCCATTTTCAATCAGATTTTCTTAAAATCAATTGTATTGTCCCCTTGATTCTGATCAAAAAGATCTATTCTAATGTTAAGCTGACCAACCTCTGGCTTAAAGGTTTCCTGGAATTGTAGCAATTCATTCATAATTTTAACCGTTTCTTTTTTGTTCCTTTCCTTCTTTTCCTCCTCGTCCTTCCTATGCCTTTCCTTTTCCTTTTCTTCCGCTTTACTGCGCCTTTACTTTCTCCTCTTCTTCGTCCTTCTTGTGCCTTTTCTTTCTAATAAAGATTTCGTTTAATAAATAAAACAGACCTTTAACATTTGTGAATACAGCTTACTCTTTTTGCTCAATGTCCCATTATTAATCGTACACTCTGTATAGGTACTTTTAATATTTTTTTAAATAGTACGATGGGATTATTAAAATATAGTACGCAATAAATGTCGAAAAGTAATTGATACATCATTTGTTAAGTAGGTCGTTAAATTTTAATGGGTAGTTTTTAAATTAGTGTAAATCACCCAATTCGGTCAATTTTTTTGTAGGTGTTGTTGTATAAACTTGCACGAAACTTCAGAAATTGCTTTTACAAATTGACAAATAAAATAGGCATTATTACACTATTACAGTCGTTAACACTTAGTATTCGATGAATTCCAAAATTCAATTTTATCTGTTTGTCTGCATATTTTGTTTAGCATTTACTTATGTAAATACTAAAAGCAGTAAGTAATAAGCGTGTTTGCAGAATTTTGGAAAAAAGAAAACGATTTTTTTGTTATAGATATCGATGATAATTTGATTTATTTATTTTAGGTCCTCTCACAAGACCTCAGCAAATTGAAGTTAGGACTGAACAAGGTATGTAAAAAAGTAACCATTGATTTTATTAATACCTATGTTTTTTTTTTTAACTTTTAACAAGGCCAGGAAATACTTTACAAAATGATAAGTCGAAAAGGTGCATCTATATACGTTATAGCTAAAAGTTCTAGTTCTACAAGGTGTACCCAAAAAATTGTATCCAATAAAATAATTCACTTATTTTTATTGACAGCAAATAAAAAGTTGTACCTATACTATATATGAGACAAGTAAATTTTTTATTAATGGTAGGTAAAACTAAATTTCTAAAATTAGTCACTTATTGTTAGTGAACACTTTAATTATTAGCTTTTTAGTATAACCTACTGTTAGTTAGCTATTTACTTGCGCTTAGTAATTTGAGTTTCAGTGGGTAGTGGAAAAACTGTCAAAGTAAACCCCTGGTAATGCTATTTTTACAATTACAAAAGTGAGCTTAAATGACATTTTTGTATGTGGAAAATTTATCGCTTTTTGACGTAAATTTGTTGTGGACAAAATTTGTTCTCATCCTCCTTTCAAAATAATTCAATGGCGATGCTACGGTGAAGTTAGCTTTATAATCATAAAAATTAGCATAAATGTCATTTTGTCGTTTGTATTTTTTGAAATTTTATTAATTATTTATTCTAAACGACTTGTTTATATGGATTATTAAAGTTATTTAGCTTTAAAAAAAGTGGGTTATTTTGTCGTGTATTATGTTTCAAATATTTTGTGCTGATTTAGAATGGAAAATAAGGACCAAAACAACATTATTACTAGGTCGTAAATTTAACTAAATTCTATTTTTATAAGTCAACCTGCCCTTGTTTGATATAAACTTTCAATAATAATGTATATTATTTACTTTAAAATCAAAAAAAGGTTTTTTTTTTTCTTTTTTTTTTCTTTTCGCAATTGATGACATAATGAATTTTTCGAAACCAGTTTCATAATGTTCAGTATTGGCCGCATTTACAAAAAATGTAATTTTAAATGTCAAAATTAGAAAAATATATTTTGTTTGTATATTTTGTTTAGGATTTATATTATGTATGTGTGCAACTAAGTTGAATTTGGAATGTCAAAAGTACAAAATTTTGTTTTACGAAATTTGCTGGAGAATATCCTAAAACAACAAAATAGCTGTCTCAGACGGCAACAAACGTCGAATTATAAACAATACTTTTTCTACGCTCACATTATTTTAAGAAATAGATGTTAATAATATAGAACAACCAGAAATGTAAATATTTATGATTATAACAAGTACAGCACTATATTTATTATTTAATTTTATTATAAAGTTACTTGAGTTAACGTTTTTTATATAGTTGGTTATTTAAATTTTATTTTAAATACAATTTATGCTACTAACATATAAATCGGACAAGGTGGTAAAGAATTATCTCTAAATATACATAAAAAATGAAGAATTTTAGGATTTTCTCATGGATCCAATTACTAGATTTTTGACCAAATTAATAAGGGTCCATCCCTAAAGTACTTTCATTGAAATCGGGCACCGTGTTAAAAAATTATCGCTGAACATACATAAAAAAAATATATATACAGACGAATTGAGAACTTCCTCCTTTTTTGAAGCATGTTAAAAAAAAGTGCGTGTGTGTAGTTATCAGTGTTATCACGAACATGTGAAATCTCTAAAAAAGATACCATCAATAAAATTATTAAATTCTGTAGCTTGTGCATAAATGTCATTGATAAAAGTAAAATTAGAATAATGATATTATTAAGTGTTGATATACCGGGTGTTCTAAATTAAAGCGTTACAGCTATATACCGCTTTTTATAAAAAAAAACGTTTCAGACGAAAGTTTTATAGTTTTGTCAGCTATAAAAAAATGAATTTAGCCAAAATGTTTCCCCCAAAAAACTATAAAACTTTTGTCTGAAACTTTTTTCTAAAATGCATATTTTCGGCGGTATTTAACTGTAACACTTTAATTTGAACACCCGGTATAAACAATTCAACTCCTGGCAACTTTAAGGTGAAGTTAGAGTAATCTTTACCTTTCATTTAAACTGTTACAAAAATGAAGATGATCAAAAGGATAACAAGTATTCGACGCATGTGCTTGCAAGTCACTACAAGACCTGACTCGTATTTCTGTAGATTATGGCCTATACGAAAAAAAAATTGTTATATAGATAATAATTTGCTTTTTATTTATTATTTAAGATGCTTTGAGAAAACCACAGGATATTGAAGTAAGAGACAACTATCCAGGTATGTACCTACAAAAGTATTAGGGTGAGATTACAGAACGTCTGCAATTTTGCAGATCTGCAAATATGGCGGACTTACAAATGCAAATATTCCAAAAAATATCTGCAAATTCGCAATATTTATTGTGGTTTATTACCCCCAACAACACTAAACCCAAATTTGGAATACGAAAATTTAATATTTCGTGTAAGTCAGTCATATTTGCCGATTTTAAAAGTTGCCGCCATATTTGCAGATCTGCAAAGTTGCAGACGTTCTGTAATCTCACCCAATCATTTGTATTAATTCAAATATTTCACAATTTTTTGTTTAAATTTAGTATTTAAAATGTAAAAAAGTAATCTGTTATTGTATTTTCGAAAGTCTTTTTTAATGTTCTTTAGATCGAGCTTTTCAAATACTTACTACCTAAAATTAAAAAAAAATCGCTTTTTTCCGGTTTATAAATATTGAAAATACATTTTTAGGTAATATTACTAATCATTTGTATAAGTGCTTTTTAATTTTTCAGTAAGTACCTATCTACTTACGATTTACGATTATAGTTGACATAAATTTTAATCAAGCAATATTGATATACTTTTAATATAATTTTTTATTTTAAACTTTTGACGTACTTAACTAATAAAGCATAAAAATGTTTATGTGCGATGGGAATATTATTTTTTTTTTATCTTTCTACTTATCTAAATTACTTTTTTCATTTTAAAATGCATATAGGCAAGGCAATAATTTTTTATTTAATAACTTCTCGTACATATCGCAATGAATATGCGTGGCAAGTCGAAGACACTTACTGATCTCAGGTTAACATGTGACAATGTTCTAGGCAAAAATAGTAACAGTGCATCACAGTGCAAAAGAGGTATTAAGATAAAAAGACAAATGAAAAAATCATTATCATATAATTTAATAGTCAAAAGATGTTTAAAAGCACTCATTTCTATGCAGGTACACTTAAAGCTTGTGATGGATTTTTTGGAAACCCTAACAGAGCTGAGTAGTCAAAATAGACTAACCTAAACATGGGTACCAGACCTCAAAGGATACAAGGGCGCATCAAAGGCTAATTTTGATTCAGAACTACCCTTTTGTGGTGTCACAAAGATAGCCATTAAAACATGCACAAAGCAGTGGGTGTTTAAATTTTTAGGAATGGTGAAAAAAGTAATCAGTTGTGAAATATCCAATGTCCAAATATAACAGATCTACGCGATGTGTAATAATTAAGTAATTAATTATACCACTCTATAAATTAAGGAACTGGAACCATTTTCTTGCAGTAGTTCAGCGTCAATTTAAGAAATTAGCATCCGACTGAAAATGGTCTTGTTTGATTCTTATTAAGACAATCGTTTCATTTCAGTCGTCTTCTTTTTAATACATAAAAAAATAACAGTACCTGTTTTCGGCATCTTACTATACATAACAGTACCTACTGGGTGATGTAGTAATTTTGATAGTCTACTCTATATTTTCTCTGTATCTACTCTGTATCTACTCTGTATCTACTCTGTATCTACTCTGTATCTACTCTGTATCTACTCTGTATCTACTCTGTATCTACTCTGTATCTACTCTGTATCTACTCTGTATCGACTCTGTATCTACTCTGTATCTACTTTGTATTTGCTTTGTATCTACTTTGTATCTACTCTGTACCACTCTCTATCACTCTATATCTATTCTTTATCTACTCTGTATTTACCTTTAATTTAAATTAAAGCGGGTAATTATTTGTTAATTTTAGGTCTAACAGCAATTTTGGGAGCTGGCGCGACAGTTCTTGAAAGTGTGGTAGCTTACATCTTAGGTCAAGGTTCAATCGATGATATAACCTCGGCTATTCAAGGGGTCTTCTTCCAGATACAAAAAATGATTAGTATTCAAGGATTAGTTGGACAAATTCCGATGTTCGGTTTTATTCTTCAGCCCTTGGTTGGAATTATAGCAATGATTATGTCGAATACTCCAATGTTGGGTGGGCTTATTTCGTTTGTTTTGGTAGGACCGAGTGCCTGATTTTGAAAAAAATAGGTCTTCTCGAAAGGTTGCTGTTAATAAAATGTTTCTAGTCGCAAATTCGAGTTTTATTGTTTCATACATTCATTTAGGGTAGATACTTATAGCAGTTTTGACGATTCTTAGTATACAATATGGATAGTTTAGTTCTGTTATTTTTAATAATATCTGAAGATGAAAGTCTTTCTTCTTACACAGCGATCATAATATTTATGCTAATATACGGCGCAGTTATTGAGTACAGAAAACTCAATAATTTACAACTATCCGAACAATACAATGAATTAGATGTGTTAATATTACAGAAGCCATAAAAACACACCAACCAGAGCAATGGAAGTCACTCCCCTTGATATTTTCATCAAAAAACTGCTCTGAAATGATATCTCATCGAATCAGAAGGATGCACATTGGGCCTAGAGATGTATCAGTGCTGTGGGACATACATGAAGTACTTACCTTAAATTTGACCATATAGTCTCCAGTTTTAATAGACGATTATTTAGAATTTTAGAATTTAGTGCCAGCAGAACACTTAACTCTATTCTTTAGACATTCTAGAAATATAAGAGAATTACCTAAACTGTGAATGAGTATAAAATGTCAGATTAATTTTCTCGTCGTTGTATGATGACAGAAATTAGAAATGAGGACATTAGAACATTGAAAGAACATCAATTAACTTTAGACAATTGGAGATAGTAAACAATTATGAAGAAGCTGGCGGGATGGTAAAAGAAATAAGTACTTAAAAATTTAAATGAAAATACATTCTAAAATAGAAAGAAAAATAGATTAAATGCAGGGTTGCTGGGTTACTTTTGTTACATAACCTCAAACTTCGTTCAATCGAGTTCTATTGTTTGACGATTGGGAAGATGTTAGAAGAGCGTCTGGAGACTCGAAGATGAACAAGAGGAGATAGATATTATGCGCAGTAGCATTGTCGAAAGATTTCGTATAGACGGTGATAATTCTAAAAGAATCAGTTAAAAAATATTTGAATTTTTGCAATAACTTTGTCAAATATTCAATTATTAGAAAGGAAGAAAGAGTACATTTATGCTGACCCGTAACCTTACAAAGATTGCCGAAAAGATAATTTACATTTTCCTTTGAAATAAAAACCTGCTTCTATTAATTGCTATATTAACTGATCCAATATACAAATTATTACAAATAAAATATAGTAACACTAAAAATAATTTATGAATAAGGTACTCAATAAGTGATAAATCACTTGTTTTGAGTGACGGAAGGCTCTTGCAATGACCTTACAACTGCAATATATCTTCCGATGAAATCATTTATTTCAAAAAAATCATTAAGAAGTCACTAAGAGCTCAAATTTGGGCATTACATTCAGAATGGTGATATCAAGGAATTAACATATTTTCATTATAATATTTTGAACTTTAAAGCTCCTTGATTTTTCTCGGAAACTCGAAAGAAATAAAATTAAAAAATACATGCATATCTAGATAATATTACCTCATTTATTCAAATTTTTTAATTAAGTTGCTTTTTCAGATATCCTTGTCCAAAAATTATAAGAGGTGCTGTAAATATCTTAAGTGTCTCATTTTTATTTTATTTGGTTAATGTATTGTATACCATCATAATAATATTACATCTATCTATTTATTTTCAATTTATTTTTCATTTAAATATTTTTTTTTATCGTATATTTTTATTTTAGGTATCTTAGAAATTATTGGTGCCATCTTCGACGTTCCTAAACATATATTAGCGTTTATAGCTGGTAAAGGTCCATTCTCAGGCATAACCTCTGCCATTTCTGACGTAATCTTTCAGATTCGAAAATTTGTTAGTGTCCAAGGAATTGTTGGGGTAATTCCTATTCTTGGATACATACTTCAGCCGTTGGTTGGATTGATGGCCATGATTTTATATCATATTCCATTTATAGGAGGAATAATACGGTATATTTTGGTAGGACCAAGTGAATGATTTCGGAAATAGTTTAAGGTTGCTACTTTTAAAATGTCAATAAAATATTTCTAAGTCATACATTTTTGAGTTTTACTATTTCAAATGAAATCGTAAAATACATAAAACGAATAGAAACCACGAAAGGGTAACAACAATTTTTTTTGTTCGTTGCCTATTAATGTCCCCCTTAGGTTTTACCTACGGTTTTATGTTACAATAATTATTGCTTGCTAGATTTTTAAATGTTTAAATAGAAAGTGATGCTATGAACGTAAACGTATAAGAATGATATAAGTGAAAAGCAATTTTTTTTTTATCTTTACTAGATAGAAGATATCTCATTGTATATACAGAATTACCACTTTAACCCTGTTTGAAGTAGGTGATACCGTGGCGTAACACCCCAGGGGGCCTTACCTTTTAACGTGGGATCCGAGACCACAGTATCTACATATTCAAAGTGAGATAAACTAAACAAAGTTTGAAGAGGTTGAGTGGTGTGTACACACAAAGTTTATTTTCTTGTAGAAAATAGCATTCATATTATGTATGCTTTATTAAATAATCTATATGCAAACAAAATACAATATTGTTTTTTTTTTAAAAGAGTGTTTAGCCCCAGCCAAAAATTCCACCGCCTCCAGATGGTTCAGGGGTTGGTGGAGGAGCCGTGGTTGGCGGTGGTGGTGGAGGTGGGGGAGGTTCCACTGGATAACCTGAAAAATAAATCGATTATTGTTGGTTTACAAAGCTTTAAATTGCATACATACATTAATTCGCCCAATACCACTTTCAGCGACATTGTTTCTAATTTTATACAATGCAGCTATTGTGAAAAAATATGGGATATTGGAAAAAGAGAAAACGTAACAAAAATAGACCAACCAATATAGAGTTAGATCGTTAGAATAAGCTTGGAGGATAGGAAAGATGATAGAGGGTATATATACAGTGATAGAGATATGGAAAATTGTGATAAATGTATCAGATCAAGGTCTAGAACATATTCAAGTTTTGATGTTGGGAGATTATGTAGAAATACAGACAGAAACAAAGAGATCAGCGTATGATGTTTATTATTAATATGGAAGATTGGAGAAAATATTCAAATTTTATTACAATATATTTTTAACAAATTGTTTTAGTTTTAATTTTTTCTATTGGTATCTTAGATATTAAAATTAACAAACAAAAGTGTACATACTTGTTTTAAGATAAGAGTTTCAGAATTGATTTTTAAACACATTTAAACAGCTAGGACGAGTTAAAAGTACCTAACAAACAATAACTGTTTATGCAACCAATTACATAAAACGGCATTTCAAAACGTGTTACATACAATATTACTGACATCTAGACAACTAATATTACGTTATTGTATTGTTAGTTGCATACGTATCATTTTATTGACAAATAGAAAATCATATAAATTTATTATCAACTTCTTGTAATGTGTTTATATTGTTTTTTAAAGTTATTTAGTTATTCAATGAAGTGGGTTATTTGGTCGTGTACTGTGTTTTAATGATTTAGAATGCACTATAAGGACCAAAACAACATTATTACTATATTGAAAGTTTCACCAAATTCTACTTTTATAAGTTAACTTGCCCTTCTTTGATATAAACTTTCAATAATAATGTATGTATTGATTTTAAAACCAAAAAGGTTTATTTTTATTTGTTTTCTTTTCACAACATTATGCAACTGGTTAGGTAAAGTAGTTCATTTTGACACTTGCTACAATTACAAAAAATAACACTTTATATGTCAAAATTAGAAAAATATTTTTTGTTTGCAATATTTGATAATTAAATCTCACACGCTTCTGTCATCATTAGATTGTATTGCTCTCTATTAAGGATAGCCAATTGCCCAATAATACAATGAAAATAAACAATCGATAACTTTATTTTTTGTTATTAAAATATACATTTTTCGAAACAAAAGTGAGCAGAAGATTTTTTGAAAATGTAAACAACAATTCACTAGTCTAGCTTGAGTGCTAGTAAAAAAGTGAATGCTTAGAATATTTTTTTGAGATTTTAATTTTATTTAAAAAAAATATATTAAAAAATCTTCTGGGACATCTTTAATTTCATTATAATGATATAATGATTCCTAATATTCCAATTCTTCATTTTATTTGGAATGTAAGTGCTTTTATTGAGAAGTGCTGATGTAGTATTTTTGGATGATTTACTCAAAATGGATATCTACGCCTGCGTAGGGTAACCTAAAAAGTGATAGTAGTTTTGCTTTTGTATTCAAACTGTAGATTTTTTTATAAAACTAAAAATTTCAATACAAAAGATGTTGCAAAGTCTTTTTCGTTATACTTTCGTTTGATCTATTCCCCAATAATAAAAAAAAAGAAAAAGTACTAACATAATTTGAAGAATTTTTGTAAAAAATGAAAATACTTACTTGGTCCAACTACCAATTGGGACAGCAGACCTCCAAATACAGGAGTATTATTTACCATTTGACCAAATATGTCCAAAACTGGAGATATTATCCAAACAGCTGTAGGTCCGATAAATGGCACTTCCTTTATAATAGCCTTAACGTTAACTAGACCTTGTACTCCCTTAGAAAACATTTGAACGGAGGATACGATGTCATCCAGGGTGTTATGACCGTCAGCAAAACCTAGTATGGTTTGCAGAACGTTTACAAATTCCTCCAGGATTCTAAGTATACCTAAAAATTTACAATAATATTAAAAATCACATAACATTCAAAAGCATAATTTATTTACAACTATTAAATAAAAGTCTAGGTGCTCGATGATGATATCGTGCAATATTTTAGAGAGCGACCGAAATAAAGTTTTCTAGGTTAACGTATTTCCTAAGATAATGACATTTATGTTCTCTGATTATTCCTATTGGACGAACTACTCAAAAGACGACCCAAAGAAGTTTACCAATGCCTGGAACGCGCGGACGACATAACAATTATCGTTAGAGGGTTTTTTGCAGGCACAGTCTCTGAACGTTCTCAAATGGCTCTAAATATAATAAATATCTGCTAACGATTATGTCAATCAAATTAAATATTTTTGTATTACCTGATTTATGTGCTTGTCTTTCCTCTAGAGCTGCTCCTGTAAATCACAGAAAAAAAATACTAGAAAAAATCGGTCATTGTATTTTAAAAAGCAGCAATTTAATAGTTATACAAAATATCCCAGAAATCTCATGTTCAAACGGAGACTCCAAATATTGGACTTGCTATTATAAATCCGAAAATGCTTTATATGGGAGCTAAAGCTCTTTGAAATAGTGAAATAATATATACTAATTATTGTTATTATTATCTTGGTCTTGGTTGTATTTAATGCTTGTAAGAAACCATCTCAGCTGCGTTTAAATGTTCGGTGGACAAAAGCTGCAATTAATTTAATTCAACCGAGTTTTCAGGTAAAATGTCTGTGTATCTTTTACTATTATTTATTTATACTTACCTGGACCATAAAGGGATCTTAACTTAGGCCCATTTTTGTGTAAATTGGAATCTAAAACAAATAACATGTTCTTAAATAAAGGACTTGACACGTTTTAAATGTAAATTGGTCCTCCATAGAAAATTTTGACGGTTAATTACTGTGATATACTATTGACAGAAATTTACAAAAGCAAATATGCACTTAGATCGGCAATAATAACAAAATCACTGTGAATTCTCAATTCAACAAGCGTGCGAGCGAGGCGATCCAGTCCTCATTATTGATATAGTATTTTTCGGTGGATTTTCTCCAAATACTCCGTAACGTACATGCGATGGTTTATCGCTAAATATCGCACAGCTGTACCATTTTTGGTCGACAGGAGTTCAGTGTGAGATCCCAATAACGTAAAAACAACAGATATTTGAAGAACTGAACATCTAGGAAGCATAATAGAGACCGATATATTGTTGGTAACGGGAAATTGGAGGCGGTAAACGGCCCAAAATATTGCAGAAAGGGATTTAAAGAATCAGAGTATAACTGGACTGGTTAAAATGGCTAGATTAAATTATTTTATTTCCGACAGGGATATTATAAGCTTATATCGTCATAGTTACGCTATCAATAAAGAGGGTCATAACTCCCTTGGGACATTATAGATTCTATAATTCCCTCTACCTTTTAATCAACGGTACCTGATTCAAATATACCGGGAAGGTAATAAATTGGTACATTTTTTTTTTTAATAATGAACAAAATTTTATTGAAATAAAATTATCTATGTACCACAGGAATTAATGGGCCTTAATAACCTCAGGCAATTGCTGTCCCTCGGGCCAGAGGCCCTCGGGACGCAAACTTTGCCATTGGTAATTAAGGCCCTTGATACATAAATAACTATTAAAAAGTTGGTATTATATTAATAAATTTTAGAAATATCTTAAAAAGGCAAACCCTAACTTTTTATATCTATTAATGTAAACAACATTAAAATCGTCTTGAAAATGATGGGATATCACAAGTATCTCAAAAACTGATCATAAAAGAACTGTGTCCCTGAACTATTATAATTAGAAGGTAAAAACCTACAACATACCTGTATAAAATCCAATAGATTCGATTTCTTATAACTGTGGGGTTCTTTATAGCATTCTTTTCGTAAATAATAAAACAATCCAACAAAGAATAAACATTTCTGGCAATAAATCATAATTGATGGCATATGACAATGAAGTAAATTCTTATTTATTACATGTTATGCACTTACCTAATGCTAAAGTAGATGCAAGAACAGTAAGTAATCCTAAAAATACAAAAACGACTTTCATTTTCGTCATATTTCGGCTGTTACCTGCTGTAAAACATTTGCAATATAAAAAGTTATTTACTACAAGCTTTTATAGCTTATTAGGTATTTATAATGACTTTTTATGAAACCGAAAATAATTACTATTTTGATAGATTGTGATCATTAAAAACATCGAAAACGATCAATTATTTTTCAAAACATTTTTCAGTTTCATTTTGATAATTTTAATGAAAAAAAGATATACGAAACGTATTTTTTTACCGTACTTACCTATTACAATAATAATTGTTGACTATAATATCAATGCTCACTAAAGAAAAATGCGTAAGTTGAGAAATTACAAATTTGAATTAAGATCACAACAGATCTGTTAAAGTGGATATCCATAATTAACATAATATGGCAAATTAATATGAACTATACACCAAAAGTTTAATTGGGTCACAAGTATTATAAAATAGCTGAATACTCCGGCTATTCTGTATTTCATCGCTCTGTATAATAATTATTTAAAAATAAGTACCGTGCAACAAAAATAACATCTAAGAAAGAAAACAATTTAAAAAATTAGTATTCATTTATTACAAATTCTTTGATTATTCATCTACTTACTCAGCATGTCCTGACCAATTTTTTTTACCGAACAATTTTAAATTAGCAACGAGTCTTAGAGTGAGATAATAAATTATTTCTACTAATGATAGAAGAGAGAATCCAATAAATAGTCCGAGCAAGCCTCCCAAATTGGCTACAAAATCGATAGGTCCAAAAAGTTCGTTTCTTTCCGATGTTATAAATTGGTTGTCTTTGAAAAAAATTTGAAACATCGCCATGTGTTTCCTAAAAAAATGGAGTACTTAAAACTGTCTTATTAAAGTTGCTTGTTTAATTTAAATTGAATCGCTAGATTATTGCGTTAATTAATGTTAAAGAATTCGAGATTGAATAAAAAAATATGTATATCTATTGAAATTATATTAAAAATTAAATAATTACATAAGGTAAAAAAAGCAAATTAAAATTTATTCTGGAAATTGGCCCAGAAATGTCCGTAGGCTGTGCAAGTACTCAGTCATGTATTTCCTTCTTACTTAATGATTATGCACACATTCCCTCAACACCCCTGTGTGTTATTTTTAATTTAATATTGAAAACTGCAATATTTTCTGAGCTTTGGACACCAGTTTATAAAAAAGAGAACCAAAGATGATCTATAGAATATAGACACGTTAGAATACTAATTTTTCCAAAGTATTTAATTTCATTTTACATATATACTTATCATAATACATGGATTTATGGAGAATAGGTCAACTGTATCGAATTTTGTGTGCACTCAATTTTTGGCAGAAGCTTTAAATAGGAGAAGTCAGGTTGATGTCATCTATATCGACTTCTCTATATCCACGAGATTGGTAACCAAGGATTTATTTTAAAATATTTTAAGCAAATCTCACGTATACCGCAAGGTTCGGTCCTTGGGCCTCTGTTTTTCGTAGTTTTATTGATGACGTTATTGGGAAAAGCACAAACGTGAAATATTTAAAGTACGTTAATGAAATACGAGATATAGTTGATTGTACAATTTTGAAAAGGTGCTTAGTTAAATTTTTAAAATGACTGAATACTTGCTGGTATTTTCGTTTCATAAAAAAACCAATTTTACTAGGTTTTTGTTTACTATTGAACATTGTTATCCCAATTATTATAAATTTAGTTACCCTTTAGTATAATTTGCAACTTTATTCTTCCATTTCCATGCCAATTGGGAACTTTGAATGTTATAGTTCATTTTAGAACAAATTGGTAGACAATCACATTCTGTTCTTTTTGAGCCTCCTTTCAATTTCAAGAGATGTCCATCCATACTGGCGTTTAACATATCCACTAAAAAATATTTATATATTATATAAATAATTGGACATAAAGCAATAACAATAACTAAATAATATTGTTAATAAATGTAAAGGGGCTATTGCTTTATGCTCGATTATTATTGAGATACTTTTTATTAATATGAATTCGTTTCTCTGGCAGCCTCAATTCCTTCAATACAAATAAAAACAAAACCTTTGATTTTTTTTGTAAATCTTCGAAAAGTATTTATTTTGAAAATGTTTTAAAACAATAAAAAAAAAACATTTATGCGACATTCTGTATTAAATCTATGAAAATTTACTGGTTTTTGTTTTAATATATACTTAGTAGTTTTTATATGGGAGGGTTTCCCACCTTTTTTCTTAAATCTATCTGTAGAATGCTGTCTTATCGTTGCACAAATTTAAAGCTCTCAATATTCTTGAAACACATAACATCGCAAAGTATTCCTAGTGAAGCGCATATAAATACAATTTTATTTTAGAAAATCATCAGGACTTTTGCTTTTCGCGACAGGTCCGGTTTTGCTCTAACGCCCGTATTTATAAACAGATCTCAGCTGAGTCGTCCTTGAAGGAAAATCGAAATTTGTTTATAACTCCTCTAGAGCTCAAGGCGGTGGTGTCGGGACAGATGCGCCCTCGTACATTCGAGCCCCCGATACATTTGAGCCCCTGTCTTGATTTTTCGAATAATGATAAAATTTAAGTGAGACAGTTGCGACCCTACCCCTATTAATCCCAAACAGAAGTCGAATAATGAAAGTAGATTTTTTGGTTTACTGATATATACAGGGTGTTTCAGAGTTATAAGTACATACATTAACTGTAAGTGTAAGACACTTGGATGATTCGAAATCACCCATTAATAATGGGTCTATCATGTTAGCAACCCCCGTAAGAAACGCCACTGGGATATCTAGTACTATGACTCATTAGGCGATAAGTTGAAATCATCAGAAAATGATATAAGCGTTAATTTAGATATATGGCATTATTGTGCGAATCTTTATACAGTTTAGTCGAGTATAATAAATAGTTGTGTTAAATAATCGAGTTTAGTGTTACCACCCTCTCCTAACATGAGAAGTGATTCGACTCACGCTAAAATGGGTAGAAAAAGAAGGTATTCTTCTTCGAGCAGTTCTAGTTCCTCGAGTTCTACTAGTTCTTCGTCCAGTTCAAGTGCATCTAGATTAAATAAGAGACGCAAGAGAAGTAAACAAAAAAAAGAATGTAAAAGTACATAAAAATAAGACGGGGTAAGTCAAGTCTCATTATCGTTATTATCGGAAAAACAACGTTACATCTAATGCAGTACCCGAATTTAATCCGTTATCAGATAATGTCGGCTGTTGGATTGAAATTATAGAGCATCATGTAAAATTATTTAATTGGGCCGAACACCAAACTATCCATCAAGTTGTGAATAAGCTACAGGGTACAGCAAAAATTTGGTATGAAAATTTAGTCGCCAACGACAAGCAATGGCCTAGTTATAGTTGGTCCGATTGGAAAAACAAATGGGGAAAAAATCGATTTAGATAAATGCCTTTTAAATACTCTGTACTGTATAACTGTCCTTCACTAAGACAATAGTAATTTGTACACAACACTTTATTTCGAACAAAAATATTTCTATCTTACCTATTTGACAATAAATAGCAATCATGCTTAACTATGGAAACAATGGCTCAATTGCAGTTAAGGTAATGACACAGTTTATAGCTTAAAAGAATCAGTTCGCTCACTCGGACCAATTGGATGTTCCAAAATAATATCCACTCCAGGGATACAAATTCAGGATGCGCAGAAGAATGCTGTTTGAATATAGGCGGTTGTCATATATTGTATTGGTTATGAATTGATTCTGTATTCGCCAGGGATACAAATCCGAGTTGCGCAGTATATAAACTGGAACATTGAGATCAAAAGTGCCGACGCAGAGTGAGCGAACTGATTCTTTAGCTATAAACTGTGGTAATGATGTAAAATTGCTATTTTTTTTTTATTTTAATTAACATCTATTTATTCTTTTTAAAAAGTATTATAAAGACATGATGAAATAAAAATCCAGGTGAAATTAATAAATTCATTCCAGCTAATGAGACGAGATAGACCCATTATTAATGGGCGATTTCGAATCATCCAAGTGTCTTACACTTATAGTTAACGTATGTACTTTTAACTCTGAAACACCCTGTATATTATCTGTAAACCAAAAAATCTACTTCTGTTTGGGATCAATAAGGGCAGGGTCGCAACTGTCTCACTTAAATTTGATCATTATTCAAATAATCAATTGTATCGAGGGCGCAAATGTACGGGGAATCATCTGTCCCGGATTCAAGGTGGTATCGGTGTTGCACTGGAATTATAGGGATGGGCAATAGCAAATCCATAACTGTTATGCATATTTACGGATTTATTACAACCCATCTCTAAATTCATGCGATATAACCGAACTCAGCCAAGTCCGACTCAACTAAGATCTTTATAAATACGGACCTAAATATATTGTCGTTTGTGATTCGCTTTTCTTAATACTCTTCTTCTTAAATGGATGCAACACGTATATTGGAACTTTATATTTAAACATTCAATCAATATCTTTAGAAATTAAATTAATTTAAAAAATATATAATACCCGTAGACACTAAAAAAATACTTAAAAGACCTACTTTCTGCTAAATATACACAATGATAGTCTACTCCGTTACAAATTCTTGTTCCTCGTTCTCCTAAAAAAAAAAAAAAAAAATTAAATTCTTCTAAATAATAATGTTCCAAACACTTAAAGTTTATTTGAAAATGCATGCTAGCACAGTTTGTATGGCAAAGGTCTTTATACAGAATTATTCAAAGAAAAAAAAAAGTAAATAATGATTTTCAAATAAACTATGACAGATATAGTGTAAACTAATAAAAATAATTTACTTTAAAAGTCTTAACAATATTTTATGTAAAATTAAAAAAGTTCTATGAAATTTGCCCCCAATCAATATAACGGCTTTTTTGCATACTTGGCATAAAAATAGTCGTGCATCCACATTTATTCATCGTAAAATTGGTTAAACATTCCAATTTGCAATTTTGTTGGGTGTAAACTTTGAAAAACGTCAAAGGTCTCTCGTCTGGCATGTAGCAATTTCTTCGTCTAGGATGGTAATTTTTGACAGCATTGGATGTCGACATCATATCGAGAAGAGTGGTTACCATAACGACTTGGTCCAGTGGTATTTTTGAGTGGTAATATTTTGGTCTTGGTACTCTTGAAGGGTGTGATATGTCCATCTAAAATTTGAATTATTTTACGGTATATATTAATAATTAAATACTCACAGAAGACCGTATCAGAAATGATGAAATCAAAGAGGAACTGGGACAGAAATCAATAGTGAAGAACATAGAAAAAAAGCGGGTGGAAAGATAAACTAGAGAATTATAGATATGAGTATTAGGAACTGGAAGAAAATCATTAGAAACTTAAAAAATATTGGCTATAATATTAATTCTAAATATTAATTCTATATAATTTTCGAAAATTTAGTGTAAAGTTTGCTAAATTTGGTTCTATTTATAAGAAGTAATGGAGAAAGTACTGCAATGTAGCGTAACTTATAAAGGATTAATGAGAAATAAAAAATTTAAAAAAATATACGAGCTAAAAGGGACCTATCTATTTTGAGAGTGCATAATGGGCCTGATGAGGTGGGGCAATCCACCCTCCACATTTTACCTAGTTATTTTAAATTATTTTTATTACTTACCATAAAACCTTGTATAGACGAACTACATACATAATCTAAGTCTTCTTCGTAAACTGTCAATTTGGCTTCTAATGCAAAAATTACCCCTGAAAATAGAGCTCGTCTTGGATAAGTGTTTTTACCATCAGTAATGGGATAACCGTTTTCAAGACTCCAATTAGTTCGTGGAGCAGATTGAAAATTCTTGTACTGAACTCTAAAAGGACAGAACTGTCTTTTGAAAATAGCTGTAATAACGATCAAAAAGTAGAAAATGTGTGTGGGTAATGATTAATATTGATAAATATTAGTAATATGATGTTTACTTACACGTTTTCTCTGTAGATGTCGTTTCTGTCTAGCAAATTAAAAGAATAACATATACCAACGTCAGTAAATACCGGCACAAAAATATCTGAACAATTTACATTTTTAGCCATAAATTTACAGTCTGATATTATTTTGAAGAAATCAGGTTGAACCTAAAAAAAATATACAAAATTTAAGAGCATAGTAATTTTTATTGGTATATACTAATATGATATCACAGCAATGCACAGTGGATCAATCGAAAAATGAGAGTCGACAAATGGGTGAACGGTTCATAATGATTAGGCACTTTCCTATACTTTATGTTTTTTTTTTTAAATTTTATTTTTAAGTATCTTATAAGCTCCTCTTTTTTTGTTTTTTGGTTTGATAAATCAGAACTTTGAGCAGCAAACTTAATGGTCACATTGAGCTATGTTGCTTTCTGATATGTTTACAGGATAAGTGTCAACTCTATATAAAATTGTAACTACAACTGCAGATAGATGATATCAGGCCAGAAGATTTTTTTTAATATAGAAATAGAAAAATAGTAGGCAATTAAAAATATGTAATACATTAAAAATGAAGAAAATTTAAATTTATTATAACTATTTATGTTAAACTACGACTTATTTTAGTGATTTGCATAGAAAAAGAAGATGAGAAAAAAATAATATACCATAAATGGAAGAGAATAGAAAATAACAGATTCGTTTAGAAAATCATCGGTATATAAATTAAAAATATATTAGACAATGGAGAAAAATAAAAAAGAAAAAAATGTTAATTTTTACTCATAAAGTCATAAGAAATCTTTCTTCTAATATTTTCTTTGATATTTATGTAACTGCCTTATTTTTATTTTCTGCTTTCTTCTAATAGACTTTAATTAATATACTCAGCAATCCAGGATTCACTATTCATACCAATGAGAGTCAACCCCAATCAATCTTTTTTTTTATCCTATTTATGGATATTCAATAACAATTACCTCTTCATAAAATTGTTGTATTTCTTCTGATGTACCAGTAAAATTTGTTTCTATATTCATACTTTCATTGTATTGGCATAAGAGTGACAGTAGACCAAATTTGTTTTCTCTAAAAAAGTAAGAGTTGAGTATTGACGTGAAAGTAAAAACAATGTTCAGTTTGTGAATCAGGCATTTATACGAGTCACTTTTATTAAGAGAGATACATACTTTGAGGTGAGCATAATTAGACAAAGAAGAAAAAATTAACGCCTAGATGTGAATGTTGATATCAAAATTACTGTTGCACATCTTAGGTCGGTCGTAATTAAGTGGGGGGAAATTATTTAATTTCCTATCGTAATCTATCTGAATATTTTTTGCTAGGTCGTTTTACAAAAGTCAATATAAGCAATTAATAATGGATTTTATTTGTTACACTAGTGTCACACTCGTCATACTTGTTAAAAATATATGCTACACTCAAGTATGTGTCAAATATTTGAAGTTACACTGAACAAATCAAATGCAATTAGTGCAGAAAAGTTACACTTAGTGCAAAAAATAAAATCCACTATTTTTTTTTGTGTCATCGGCATCAACTGCTACGGTTATTAGCCTCGTGTTCTGTGTAGGCTTTGTTACTGTTTCCCAGCGACACTTTAGGAACAGCACTGTTAATTAGTACCTAACAGTAAATGGTCGAGTGGGGAATCCTACCAAGGCATCATAATTAATTATTAATAACAAGAAATCAAGTACGTATGGGATAAAAAGTTCGTCTGAATATGTTTAGGTGGTGTGATATTCACCTGCCTATTCTACTATGGCTTATAATAAATAGCATAATTTAAAATTTTTTGAATTAATTTTAAATTACAAGACTATGTAGTGTGAAAAAATCAATAATATTGATTAAATTTTCTTTTTTGTTTTACAAACTTTTCATTCCAATATTATTATTTCATTTGTTTAAATAACGTATAGATACTAATAAGAAAAACCCTGTATGTGTATTACTCTTCGCTATTAATTTCCAGATTTTTTTCTTTCAAATCCAAGTATTTCTTGTAATCAAACTTTTTCGGTATAGATTTAGTTTCGGGACATATAGTTACCACCGGAAATGGTATCTGCCATATTGGAGTTTCTTTCGTAGCAAAACTGACTATTACTGGCGAGTTTTCCCATTTTGAATAGATCTGCATTATAAGAGTGATACATAAGGATAGTGAAATGAAAATGCTGAAAATCCACCATATTCTAAAAAATATAAATATAATATAATTTTTCTTTTGAAATTAATTTGACATAGTTTTTGGAAATTCTTGCGTATAAGGTTTGGGAAAGAAATTATATTGAGAATTGGCAGTTATAAAGAATCTGTCAGTTGTAGGTAATATAGTTCGTTTTTTTTTTAATTAGATTTTCTTCGGTATTAAGTATATGACATTCTCAACATTTTAGTTAATCTACCGTTAATATTTTCTGATAAAGAATGTCAGATTGCCAAGATTAATAACAGTTCGTTAAATATCGCCCAACTGTATTTGGACATTTGGATCTTTTTACACGGGGGAATATTTGAGGATATTTTGTGAAGTAGGCAATAAAATAATTTATTGTATTAATTGATACAGATTATAAAAATTACCTTTCACAATGCAACCGTTTCTGATTATCAGATAAATATTTGAATCCGTGTATAGACGTATTTTGACAATATTCTCTAAAATAGAATTTCGCATTTGTTCCACAAATTTTTTGTTCGTTTGTTGATCCTTCGTTTTTATTTTCAATTATCATACCTGAAATAAATATAAAGTATTTACCTAGGATGAAGATATAAAATGTTTGGCATTCCATATTATATACTCTTCACAGTTTAATAGATTCATTAACCTCCATTGTTATTGAGATGCATTTTCAAGATAAAAATTGTAGAAAACATTTCATTCAGTAATATTATGATTTAACTTAATTGTTACGTATTTAATCTAATTGCCCTTACCTTTAAAAACTTCGTTATTACACAGTAGGTAAATTTAAATAATTTATAACTATTTATTTTCATATAAAGTCTTCTGAAAAGCAAGAATTCAAATTTTAGTTTCGTTTAACTATTTGTACCGGAGTTTTTTTTATTAAATTGCGTGATAAAATCGGTATGCATGAAAAGTTTTTCTTGCATGTTAAACTATAATAGATTCCGTAAAAACTCTTCGTACATTAGGAAAATTGAATATGTCCAGATATCCTGGCATTAATCTCGCACTTTTAAATTAATTACTTTTTTTATTATAGATTTGTTAATAATAAAAAAATAGATACTGTTTAGAACCAGGATTATATTCAGGTCAAGTCTTTTTGGGTAGGTAAACTAATTTTATAAGTAATAGTAGTTTAATCAGTGAAGGTTTGTATATACAGGGTGTCCCAACGTAAAGTACCCACCCTAAATAACTGCGGAGGTAATAACTTTCTAAAAAAGTGGTGAAATTTTAATAAAATTATCTTTCGTCTTCGACACGGGATAATTTTCATAATATTCGTGAATTCGAAAATATTTCCGGAAATAATTTAGGCACTAGTGGTATTATAAGTGAAAATTAAGCTTTTCGTGTAGTAAAAATTGTGTATGAGACTTTAGCATTTGTCTTACTACATGACTACACAAAGCATATTCAAGATCGGAAGAGTCAGGCATTTTTTAAATCGAGAGGCAGGCGATCATGAAAATGGTAACGTATGTATAATAAAAAGAGGAATAAACTATTTTTTTTTTGATTAGTTGTATTAATACTTACTTGATTTACTCAATTTTGATTATATTGTTAGGCTCTGCAAAACACTTCACTGCATAATGAGTAAAATAAATCAATTTGTTTCATATAGACATTATTCTATTTATAAATATTCTAATTATTTGCTTCCAATGATTGAAGGTGCAGATGTTGTTGCCATTTCAATTAATATTTTTTAGTGAATTTTAATTTACATTTGAAATCTTTATTTATTTTGAATCGTTGCCAAAAGAAATGTTATTGGGATGAAACTCAAAAAGTATTTCATTGGAATTTAATTTACTTTAATAAATAAGTATTTGAATAAACATTATAAATATGGAGTGATTTTGATAAAAAATGTTTCTAAAGAGATAACAGGTGTAACATTATTTTGTCTTTTTACATAGTATGGACGCCGTGGTTCTGCTTGAAAATTATTACTGTCTTTAAGAACTGAAAAATTATAAGAATTATTGTGAATAACAGTAAAAAATAGAAAAATATATCATTCAAAATATTTTTATTTGGTATACTTTAACAAAAAATAAAAAAAATTAATAATATATTCAATAAAAATCACGTAGTCAGTATAGTGTGCGTAAACACCAAAATTGTCTTTTAGCTATCTATTGTCCAGCAGGTTGACCTGGTGGGGCTGGTTGAGCTGGTTCAGCCGGTTGAGCAGATTGAGCAGGTTGTGCAGATTGACTGGAATAAGGTTGCGGTGCAATTGGCCCAGCAACATTTGGTTGAGCTCCTAATTGCGAATCAGGAGCTTTTGGAATGTGATCTCCTTCTGGTTGGAATCCGTTTTCGTCAGCAATATACCTGGAGTAAAAAATAACAAATTAAAAAAATGTTATAATGAATTTATTTATTTTATAAACTCTATTTAAAATAGTATTACTTTTTGAAAAACATGTGTTTTGTGCAGGTAGATGTGAAAATTTTAAACCATTATAAACTGTAATGTTCACTTATATGAAAAAAGTGATATAATTTTTTAATTATTTCAAAATACATGCCATCAATCAACATTTTCTTTTCTGTTTTTAGGGAAAGTAATTATAAAAAATGCTTACTTTAAATTTACAGGATTTCCATCACTATCGGTGTAGGAAACAGAACCTTCAATGACTTGAATTTTCTCTGAAGCATTAGCTCCATCTTTTAAATATCCTTTTTCTTCTACTTTTATACCATTACCTGTTTCAAAACTAAAATAAAAGATTAAATTAAAGTTAAATTATAAAAAAGGGGATCAGTGAATCACTAGTTACAGGCTGGACTTTCTGATCCATGAGATGTGAGTTCGAATCTCACTAGAGCAATTAACTTTAATGGTTATTTAGTGGCATTATTTTTTTACTTTTGGTTTCTTACCTAAATTGGAAGCTTCCATCAGGATTGTTTTCGTCTGTCTGGCTTACAATTGGAATGGGTTCTTTGTTGCTTCCACTTGTGGCAGCTGCTGCAGCTGGAGGGGGGGCCGGAGCTGCTGATTGCGGAGCTTGCGGTGCAGCTACACACAGGGTCACAAAAACAGGGAGTGCAACCTACAAAAAAGATAATAATAAAAATATTGTTTAGATATATTTATTCTTCAGATAGATGCAATGTGTCAAATTTTTTGAGGTACTTTCAAAACCCAGTATTTTTTGGGATTTAGGATTTAAAATTTTCAAAACATTTTCAACTTAATATACTGATATATTTTAGATTTTAAACATCTGATTTTTGACCAGAAATACTTCAAAAATACACAAAATATTTATTTTCAAATTTTATCGACAATTTTCCAACCCAAAAACCTCCCTCACGAATATAAATCTACTTACCACAAAGGAAAACATTTTTTTTTCTAAAAGTGTCACTGTTATCAATGAGTTGGATGCAACTGTCTATTCAAAAATACGCCTTGGTATTTATACAAAACGCATATTACATATTTTATGTGCTAAATAATTCAACCTCAGTCTCCATAATCAAAGTTTATTTTCTGTCACTTTAAACAAATAATACCTATTACATCAATTTTATTGAAAGCTAAACCATTGTCATAGCGCCTTCTATTATTGGAGAGAAAGATATAAAAAATAAACAATTAAATAATAATTTTTTTACTGTCTGTGAGTGTGGTTCATGGGTCACACCTTTTTCTTTTTCAAGTTTCTGTAGATGAAAATAATGTAACATACATTTTTTTTAATAACTAATTGTTTTATATAATTCCTATAATTTTATTGAATTAAATGTATTGAATGTTCGGAAGCAGGGGCGCATATACGGGGGAGGTAATGGGTTTAATTACTCCGCAAGAATTTTTAAATCTAACATTTTATTAGTTAGGTTATCAGTTTACTAATACTAAAAATGATTTATTATCAAAAGTAAAATCTTAAATATTACCACTACCCTCGCAGACTTAAACGGATTATAGACATTCTACTCGGAATATAGGTTTGTTCATTTAAAGTCCAAACGAAAGAAGAAAGAGTACAGTCTGTTCGCTATACTTATGTGGGTTTTGGATTAAAATTTTTATGAGTATTTCCAGGTAAGTACCCGAAAGTTTGACCTGTTCTTTGGGGAAATATCAACTGGTCAAATGAAATGAAAAATAATGTACAACTTTTTAATTAAATAATAATGAAGAATCTTTTGTATAATTGAGAGCAGAATTAAACTTCTTCATTAATAGAGTCTAATGTGGGTATTATAAACCTAATAATTATTTTATATTACACTTCACACAGAAAATATGGTCTATGTATAATAAGAGGGTTATTTAGCTCAAATAAAATATTTTGTAACATAAAAATTTGTTCCATGTAGAGAATTTCAAATGAAAAATAAAAAAGTTGAACTTGTTAATATGATTGGACTTGTTTCGTTTATTTTATTTTCACGAGTCCACCAATCTTCTATTAGTTTCTCGCACTTGGATATACAGTTCTGCCACACTTCTGGAGTTGCAATTTAAAGTGCTTTTCTCCAAGTTTCCCGAACTGCGTCGTTACTATAACCATTAGGCCCAATATGGTTGTCATAATATTGTTTTGCTATTCCTCATATTCGATGGGATTAAACTGGCATTGATACGGTGGCCCTACGTAAAACTTGATGACCGTAACTTTCAACAATCTGATCCACAACAAAGGTTTTTGGTTTTGCGTGTATATTTGCCAAGCGTAATAATTCTGATTTTAATATATATTGAGAAAATGGTATATGTTCCTTTGTCAACCATTCTTTAATTTTATCAACAGTCCAAGAATTCGTTGGACTTTTGTTTAATACTTCAGAATGGTAAGGTGCATTGTCTAAAATAATTACGCTAGGCTCACTTAAATATGGGAGAAGTTTTTCATGCAACGATTTTACAAACATTTATGTGCTCATATTATCGTGATAGTCACTGGATTTTGATTTAGATGAAAATATTAAATCAGCACCTTCTATAAAACCCGATTTTCCTCCTGCATATGAAATTTTGTGTTGCTTCCCTTCTTCATAGGTATGTCTGATGGACTTTACGTTATCATCTTGCCATATTTTCTTGGTTGCACCCCTAGAAAATATCCATGTTTCGTCTAAATATATAAAATTCGCCCCTTCTTCTTTAAATTTAGAATACTTTCTTAGAAAGTTAATTCTCTTGTGCACGACAGAACTTCTTTCACAAAGGGCCTTTCTGTTATCCTCCTTTTGAAATTTGAAACCCAAGTTATGTATCACTTGTCATAGACTTGTTCTGCCAATGTCGTCAAATTTTCTATCTATTAATTCCGAGAGAATTGTATTTAAGGTCACATGTTCCTTGTTGGCCCTCATTCGATAAATGGTATCACGAATTTCAAATTTCTTTCCATCTGGAATATCTTTCGTTTTCAATGATGGGCGAGTTTTGCGGTGATCTTCTTTCGGCAGTTCACTATTGTGATTTTGTAATACTCCTCTTAATTTGGTTTTACTAATTCCTAGAGCATCGCATACGCGTTGTTGTACAGACAACCGATTTTAAAGGACCGCCATTTTCTTTTTCATCCGTAAAATACTTATGTACACTACAAATTAGACTATCTACATCTAACACACGTCTAGGCATTTTTAAAATTTCCACTAAATTTACAATATACATATAATGTCAACACTTGCAAAGAATCAATTCAACTGCAATATTTGTAACAAATTTAGTAGCTACCCTAATGTTATTTTAATTTAAATCTGACCATTAGAGCAATTTTACCTAATTTCTTGGGAAGAGGCTTATTGGAACTGGTTGTCAATGACTAATTTGCATAATTTTGTTAATCCGAAACCCGCGTAAGTATAGCGAACAAACTATACCTCATTTTTGTTGATTAAAAAGACAAGAATTTAATTAAATTTGTATTTTTTAAAATTTTAGAAAGAAAACCAAAGATTTTATTTTATAACATTTTATTTTAGAAATTCTCCATCCGTAATAAATCTTTTTTTCAAGGTTATTTTATTTTATAAATTAGTAGAAGGTAAAAATTATTTTCAAAATTGTTTGTAATCATGTGTATGGGTTATAAATAATTTTGAATATAAAATGACAATTAACAACTAAAATATTGCAATCGCACCTCCTCACATCGTAAAAATTATGCACGCCTCTGGTAATTTTTAAATGAAATCGTGTGTGCACATTGAGAGTGACATTTCTATTTCTGAACAGCATGAACTCGCATTGGTGTTACAATTATTACACCCGGTGATTCCTGAGCGCGCTACTGCTAACGTGCGATACGGGTATTGTTAAAAAAATAACGCATGTCGGTGTGTACAGTTAGGTTTTTTTAATATCATTTTGTATTTAATTTATCGTGGCCTCTTTTATTTAAAAAAATAAAACAAACTTTTCAACTTGCAAAATATTAAAGCATTTATTCACAAAAAAATATATTACAATATTAAATAACAAACCGCCGAAAAAACCAGGATTAACTAATTCCCTAAAATTAAAAATATAACATCCCAGCTTTTCGGTAGTTAAATCGTATACCAAGTCATAAAAAAATCATTTATCAAGTTCCATGTTGACTAAGAAAAGTGCTTATAAAAGAAAATCTCATGTCAGATATAGTTTATCACAGAGTACTAATTTTTTTTTTGTGGGAATGAGAGGATTTTGCCAGGTTCTCAGGTAATTTATTTATATAATTGATTAATGTGTAAAAATACGAAAAATATTAAATGAGTACTTTCATGATAATGATTAGCTAACGATAAACATTTTTTTGAATTATGAGGGCATAAATGTGTAAATATTAAAATTATTACTATGATATAACATTGCCTATCCATGTGAATAAATTTAAAAATATATTTAACAACACAAGTTTGTATAACAAGATTAAATTGAACGACAAATAAACTGTCTAATAATAATATTTGATAGTTTAAAATTTAAACAAACCTACGTAAAAATTGTTAAAAAAAATATAGTTCTCAAACAATGAAAAGACAGTTACGATTAAAATAGTATAAATAACTTTTAAAATATTTTAAATAATCGGGCGAAAAAATACAAAGTTGTGATGGTAGCGTAGCTTAATAATAATGAAAAACAATGTTGATTTATTATAATTAATTTGTAATGTTATAAAATAATATCAAAGATATAAAAATTAGACCAGTTTACTATTGACCGTTTGGGTAAAACAGTACAAATGTCACTTCTTTGGCAATATTTGCCGCCTTACTTCTGTCTCGGTCTCGCGTCGCTTGTCGCGCGTTGCCAAATGGAACATTTAGGATCCATATTTTTAAATAGAACTCAAATGAGTCCGACTCAGATGAACGAAAATCGTGTTGCAATGGAATTTAGAGATGGAGAGTAGCAAATTCGTAAATGTAAATAACATTAACGAATTTATTACTCTAAATTATGGCGATATAACTTTGATTTACGAACACATATGAATCATACTCACTTGTGTTTAATTTATAAATATGTATCATTACTATAGAGATAGAGCAATGAATTACTCCAGTTCATTACTATAGAGCACAAGTACTTAGTTTGCCATTACTGCGCCAGAATGTATGCAACCAAAATTGTTTGTAGAATAACCAAATTATAATACGTCTATGATAAAATAAGTTACATACATCAAGGTTGAATTAAATAATAAGAATGTAATTAACAAAACAATTAAATACCACTAGTTATACTAAATTAGAAAAAACTAAAACTCGGTAAAGTTTAAGCACTTGAGAGTTGACAAGTGGCACTTGAGAGTTGACAAGTGGCACTTGAGAGTTGACAAGTGGCACTTGATAGTTTGCAGACATGAAGCACTCAATTTATTGATACTGATCCCTTTTTAGTAGACACTCAAATCAAATGCGCAGTTAGAGTCTCTATACGCATATTTATAAAGTGATTAGTTGTTTTTTTTAATATATTGATAAAATAATAAATACTTTATATTTTACATTCAATTATTAACGAAAAAAGCTTTTCTGGAATAATATTTTAAAAATTGGTCAATGATAAGGCTTCTTTTTGTTATAATGGCTTTGGTGCAACTTTTACTTATACACAGGTTTTTAAATGTCGATTATTTAATAAATTATCTGAGAACTATGAATACTGCTGTTTTGTTTTTATTATTTCCTTCTTCCAGCTCTTTCAGTTGTCGATGGTTGGGAAGCGATCCAGTCCAGTGCTTTTTGAATGTTAGGGGGAATGGGTGGTGGGGTTGGTAGATGAGCCCCTTGCGGTTGGAAACCACCTTCGTCGTCTGCTACGTAGGTTAGGGATATCTTGTTGCCTTCTTTGTCGGTGTACTCGAAATTACCTTGCGCTACAATGACTTCCGGGTTTTCGGGGTCGCTGGTTTTCTTTAAGGTACCCGTTTCTTGGGCTTTGATGCCATTTTCGGTATCGTAACTGCAAGATAAAATAGTTATTAAATTATATTTTATATAATAATTAAGTAAACTAATTTATTTCCTAAAACGGGCCTGTATAGTCGTATTTTGGCCATCGCAGTAGCGCGTTAAAGAAATTTAAAAAATAATTATGTTGCAATAAGAATACATTGCAACTAATGTTGATGCGAATATATTTTCCCATATTTATTCTAATTCCCACACCAAAAAAATAAAACAAATTATTCTGAAATAATCTACGACACATTTCATAACATTTCATGGTCTAAAACGTAATTTACCCTAGGATTCACTCAGTAACTACCATTATATCCATTTTCTTTATTCAAACCTCTAATTTTCTCTTGAAAAAAAAACTTATCGCTCGTTACGAGCTTCTCATCACGACAGAACAATAAAGATATTCGCGTAGATGAAGAAGTAGAAGGAGAAAGACCTTTCGTTGAATGTCATATATCTACTCTGTTATTATTCACTTTGTTGAGTACCTACTCACATCAACTACCTATCTGCTTACATCAAAAGATTTACAGGGAGTATCAAACATAAATTTGCACCAGGTTCGTTATGTGAAACTAGTTTTTATCTAGTCATAATTAATACTAGATAAAATAATAAGGTATACAGGGTGGACAAGATTTAATTAGCCTATATAGAGATCTCGTAAAATTAAGATATAATCATTGCAATTAAATTTCCGTTGGACGTTAAGTACTAATAATGTAAATTACTGAGGCCCTTCCTATGGTGCTTCAGTATTACATTCGTGCAGACGAAAAAATTTTCTTGTCCCCATTTTTTAAAACTCATTTTCATATTTCCGATCATTCTGAGTCCGAAAATGTAAAAAAAATGTCTTCTGGTCGTCTGTAAGTATGTATGCCGGCACGATAACTCTAGAACGAAAGTTTTGATTGACTTGCGGTTTTGATTTTCTTGAATAATTACTTCTAACTTAGAACCCTATCGATTTTCAGAATTTTCGGTCCATCCTAATTACTTTATAATCAATTTTCTTAAAATCCGCATATCATTTCTTATGTTACAATTTTAGGAATTTCAATTATTTCTAAGTCAACATTCCTAACATTCTTAAAATTCCATAAATTGCAAACATTCTCTAAAAACCTGTCAAACAACAGCTGTTGTTTGTCATACTTGCAATCATAGCCATTTTTGAGGCTATTTTTATTCGAAATTAGTAGCCAAGCCTGCCAATTTATAAAAAATATATAGGCAATTTCTTAAAAATGACTTTTTTATGGTGGTGTTAACTTAAGCGTACTACTATTTTGTCCCTAGCCACAAAAACAGCTTCATCAAATTTATTGACTCTCTGTCGCAACCCCATAGAATAATTAACCGGCCATTTTATTTGGCAAAAATCAGAATAATGCTTGGCTGTGCCTGTCAAGTATCAAGATGTCAACTGTAATGTGTGAATGGCTCATAAATGTCAAATTATTTAAAAATGTATTACTTCTTTTGATTTATTGCAAATAATTTGTAGTGTATCTCAATTCAGGCTTTCCATAAAGGTACAGCAAGATAGATAATATAATGTTTTTATACAAAGGTAGGATATAATGCTAGTTTTTTTTGTAGAAAATTTTTATTATACGATTTTGGATTACATATTCAACACTTGTTTAATTTATAATAAATGCGGGTAAAACGAGGGGTAAAATAACAATAAATTAAGGGAAATACTTAAAAAGGGCAGGTTTAAAGAATATTATCACAAGACAGTATATCCGTTCTGTTTATTTATCAAGTATTGTTTGAAGTTACTTTTGAATACATTTATTGTTTTTTTTTTTAATTTCTGTAGGCAGTCTATTAAATTTTTTAAACCTTTAATAAAAATTGTATTTTGGGAACTTTTAGTGATGGCTTGCCATACATGAAAGTCAGATTGGCTTTTTGTATTTTAGTTGTGATATTTCGAATTATATTGAATTTTTTCTAATAGATCTGATGCGATGGTACTATGTCATTTTTATTTTATAAATAAATATCAGTCATGTACTGAACATAATTCTGAACTGAAAGCCAATTTATTTCTTTTAACATAGTTGCAATACTCATCCTTCTGTCCTTTATTAATATTATATAAACAGGCGAAGTAAGGAGCACAAATATTTTACATGAGCAGACTTAAGAGGTAAATGGGCCAATAATTATAAGATAAATTGCTCAAACAAGTTTGTAAACTCTAATCAAAAGACAATATAGAATGGTTTTAAAAATCAAGGCTTATGGAAATCATCACATGGTTTAACATACTTAATGCCAATGCTTCACAAACCAAAAAATTCAACGTCCTAATACTACTATCGACTTTCGGGTCTTTCGTTCCAAGTTAAATCATTTCTTGTTTTTGTTACGCTACGAGTTTAGCCTTGTAGGCCTCAGTCTCGATAAGGTGGGAACCACCATTTTAGCGTTTCTCGAATTGTTTATAAAATTTAACAGATAAATCATTGTTGTTAATCAATATTTCTTTTTATGATATGTGAAATTGAACTGTCAACAGTATTATTTTTGAGATTAATAAACAAACAAACGTATTTTTTGATTTTTAAAATACCTATGCATTTAAATAGCGTGCGAAAGAATTAGTGGGGTCTCTAATTAGATATTTTGAAAAAGAACGCATGGTGATTTTTATAATTTGGATGCCATATCAACAGAAATTAAATTTCTGTTAATACGGCATCCATGAAATCCATGCAAATAAATTCACATGGTCTTTTGTAGGATTCGCAAATGAATACGAGCGCGCGTCGTCTTGTCCACTACTAATCTCATTGTTTACGGTCTTTAAAAACAATTTCAATTTAAATTATTGCTGAAGCATAAGAAAAAAAATCTAAATTTTAAATAAAAGAAAAATGTTTTCTGGGCAATTAACGTTGATTTATTATTACTTCATCACGATTTTTGTGGTTTCGCAGAAAACAATAAATTTGTGAAAAATATATTCTTAACTACAATTAGTAGGCTTTCTAACATATATTTACTACAAGCAAAATCAGGAATATTTAGTAAAATAGTAATTTAATTTAAATGTATGTTAATATTAATTATTTACCAATTACTTTTAAATAAAACTCAACAATTGAACGGCTGCAGCTGCCAGAACATTTGGAGTTCCAAGAGTCATTCTAATATACAAAAGTAAAGGGAAAACTCCACTAAAGAAAAAAATGGGACCAACTTCATACCTTGATGAAAACGAAGAACAAATTTTGGTTACGTGGTTCCTGAAAATCAACTGAAGCAGGATTCCCTATCACAAAACTTTAGCTGTTGAACAGTGTTCAGCATGCAATAGTTAAATTAAAGAGAAATACTCTATTCAAAAACCGTAGGCCTGGAAAGTTTTGCTATAAACTGTTTAGAGAATATCTCAAAACCTGACTAGTTCTAGAGTCTTTGTCACTGACAGTTAAATAAAAGATTGGTTTAGCGGACAAGACAGTTTTTTTCCTTAATTCAAAAGAAGAGAAAATTCTTGTTATGAGAGGTGAGAAAAATGCGTATTCCTTAGTAAATACGAATGAAAAAGAAAACATTACGGTTTTACTAAATTCAAATACTGCAAGAATGAGCGCTGCTCCACTGATTGTTTTTTAAATATTTGTGCTTATCAGATAACCGTCTGTTTTGTAGAGAAAATGGTATTATCCTAATGCAACGCATCTTATTCAGTTTATGGATGTAGCAGTTCTTTAGAACAGTCAATGCGTCATGGAAAGAAAAGGTACATGAATGGAGAGTACAAGATATGCATCAGCAGTTAAAGAAAACTGATTTTGTTCCTTTCTTGAAAGGCTGACACCGAACATTCTGAGAAATGGGTTCCGAAAGTGTTGACTGAAGTAATAGACTATTCGAAAATTAAAGGTTCTTTACAAAATTTGACCTATTTAAATAAAAAAGATTGGAATAGCCCTGTAGAATACAAAAGTCTCTATTATTTATGAAAAAAAGTAAAAGACCAAACAGTTGAAGGAGGATCCCAGAAAAAGATTGCTAAGAGGCCTTCGAGGAAAATACTTTATCTTTCCAACTTAAACCCGAAAATGAAAGCGCAGGCGATCAGAGAGATTTATTGCCAGAACTACCAGGTGTAACAATTAACGAGAATAATCACAAAACCTTTGAAGAAGAAATCCTTTCCTCTTTTAAAAGTACTTTATTTTTGTCTCAGCCGGACATTTAATGGAGAATATTTTACCTACAGTCTGTTTGCTATACTTACGCGGGTTTCGGATTAAAAAAATAATGCAAATTAGGTAAAATTGTCCTAATGGTCAGATTTAAATTCAAGTAACATTAGGGCAGGTACTAAATTTGTTACAAATATTGCAGTTGAATTGATTCTTTGCAAGTGTTGACATTGTATGTATATTGTAAATTTAGTGGAAATTTTAAAAATGCCTAGACGTGTGTTAGATGTAGATAGTTTAATTTGTAGTGTACATAAGTATTTTACGGATGAAAAAGAAAATGACGGTCCTTTAAAATCGGTAATGTTTGTACAACAACGCGTATGCGATGCTCTAGGAATTAGTGAAACCAAATTAAAAGGAGTATTACAAAATCACAATAGTGAACTGCCGAAATAAGATCACCGCAAAACTCGCCCATCATTGATAACGAAAGATATTCCAGATGGAAAGAAATTTGAAATTCGTGACCTTAAATACAATTCTCTCGGAATTAATAGATAGAAAATTTGACGACATTGGCAGAACAAGTCTATGGCAAGTGATACATAACTTCTAGGGGTGCAACCAAGAGAATATGGCAAGATCATAACGTAAAGTCCATCAAACATACCGATGGAGAAGGGAAGCGACACATAATTTTACATGCAGGAGGGAAATCGGGTTTTATAGAAGGTGCTGATTTAATATTTTCATCTAAATCAAAATCCAGTGACTATCACGATAATATGAACACAGAAATGTTTGTAAAATGGTTGCATGAAAAACTTCTCCCAGGTTTAAGTGAGCTCAGCGTAATTATTTTAGACAATGCACCTTACCATTCTGAAGTATTAAACAAAAGTCCAACGAATTCTTGGGCTCTTGATAAAATTAAAGAATAGTTGACAGAGGAATATATACCATTTCCTCAATATATATTAAAATCAGAATTATTTTTTGATATTTAATATTATTTGTCATTAAATTATTTTTTAAACGATGTGCTACATGATATGCATTTAGTTTAATACCAGACATTTTTTGTTTGAAGTAATTTTTATTTTCTGAGTAAATAGGTTAATTAATGAAACTTACCTCCAATTGTAACCGCCATCTGCTGTTATTTCGTTTGTCTGACTAATAATTTTAATTTCTTTTTCTCCTTGTGGTGCTGCATAACTCGAATAAAAGCACAGGCATAAAACACTTATCTAAAAAAAGTATCAACATTGGCATATTTGAAGCAATTATCTAAATAAAATATTTGTAATTAAGTACCCACTAGGTAACTGATAATTATTTTAATAATATTAGATCAAGGTTATTTTACTCCTCAAAACACAAAATCCGTATCAGAAATGAAATTATACAGTTTTTTGGATCCATAAGGGATTTTTTTTTAATATTAACATTGGAAAAAAGTTCGTAGGCCAATCGGCTCTGCTTATTAAAAGTAGCTTATATCAAAACTAGCTACTGACATCAGTTATCTGTCAAATTCGTAATAAAAATTTTTTTTAACGATTTCGTAATGTTTAAAAAAATCCCATATAGATACAACTATATGGAACACACTGTATATTAAATATAAACTTCAACCAAGGTTATAATAATAAATTAAAAAAAGAAAGGAATACAAATAACAAACATCAAATTAACAGGTTATTCCCAAGAGCACCTGAAGGACCTCTTGGCGAGGTTTGTTACTACTACAAAAGAAACCACTGGGCCCAAGTGTTATGGAGTTTATTCCATTATCCTAACTTTTTAGATAACATTAATGAAAATGTTTGGAAGAAAGCGAGTTGAATAATAACATAGAAAAAACAAACAAAATAATATAATAAGATAAGATCTGATAAAATAAAATTATAGGCTCATCATCAGATACAGTTGGAAAATTAAAACAACAAAAATAAAAACTTGTTGAGAAAGGGTTAAAAGGGTTACAAAGTAAGAAATTATTAATTTAAATTAAAAAAATAGAGTTTAAAAAAACTTTTTAGTAGTTGGGTTGCGGGACCAGAAAAATGAATACAATTCTTTTAAGTACAAAATGGGAAATTCTAAAACTTCTAATTATAAACAATTCCTCTTTGTTGTATAAATTATTGGCTGAATTATGTTAAATATTAAATTAGTGTATGAAGGTAATTTTGAAAAATGATAAGATTATTTTGTACCTACACTAAACCAAAAGAAATTATAATATACAAAATTATGGATCAAAGTTTACGGAATTGTCCAAAAAATGTGTTTATTTTCCTTACATTAATTATGTCGTACTAATCAAAAATAAAATTAACAAAATAAAAAAAGCGATATTTCCAAAATATAATTTTTTTTGTTTAACAAATAATTACCTGCTTGGCAGATGTATAAAAAATTGTAAATATTTTTTTTTTCGAAACTCACCCTTAACCAATCCATTTTTGTCACTATATAACTAGTTAACTAACTGATAGACCAGTGTATTTAACGGCTTCTTGTATTTATAGTGTACAATACCTATGTATTATAATGGTTGCTCCCCCTACGAGATGCATCTCTAAGCTTTTGTTACAACATTTTATAAATGGCATCATGCCAGTAAACCAAATGCACAATTGACAGTGCCATTTTTTGTAAATGAAGCGAATATTTCGCTGGGCGAACGTGTGCATCATAGTATATACATTTTTATGCACATGAGATCTATTCTTCTCAGGACCGGATCTAGAATGGGTTTTTCAATGTGACACACTGATAGGATTTTCTGTGTCGACCAATTATAAATGGAAACTGCAAAAGGAAATGAAAAGAGTGGAAATAAGGATCAAAAAATTCTACCGGTTATAAAAGAATAGTATTTTTAATATTCGCAATAGATTATACATAATGTTTTTTTAATATATGCTTTAAAAATATTTCAATCAAGTAAAATATCATTATAGCTATTAAGTAATTATCTTTCATTCGTTATACATTTAGGACGTCCATTGTTTTTAGTTTAAATGGCTTCACAATTTTTTTATTACGAACATTTGGGTACATTTACCATACCACATATTTATATAAATTGCCCTTTATGTTGTAAGTATTTCATACAAATTACTTACAATTGAAATAATAATTATAACTGTAATAATTAAACTATACTAATTGACCTATAATAATTAAACTGTAATAAACTGTAATACTTTAACTGTAGGTAATAATTAAAAAATAATAATTATTCTATAATAATTAAACTGTATTAATACAGCTGTAATAATTATAACTGTAATAATTAAACCGTACTAATTGAACTATAATAATTAAACTAATAATTAAACTGTAATACTTTAACTGTAGGTAATAATTAAAAAATAATAATTATTCTATAATAATTAAACTGTATTAATACAGCTGTAATAATTATAACTGTAATAATTAAACCGTACTAATTGAACTATAATAATTAAACTAATAATTAAACTGTAATACTTTAACTGTAGGAAATAATTAAAAAATAATAATTTTCATAATAATTAAACTGTATTAATAATACAGCTGTAACGATTAAACTGCAATAATTGAACTGAGTATGACGAATACTTACAACTTTAATAATTATAACTGTACCTAATAATTAAACTGCGATTATTAAGTTGTACAACCTCTAATTATTACAACTGCAATTATTACATCTGCAATTATTACATCTGCAATTATTACATCTGCAATTATTAAAATTGTAATTATTATAACTGTAATATTTATAAACAACTGTGATAATTGTAACCACAATAATTACCACTGCAATAATTGTAACTGCACTATTTACGACTATAATATTTACAAACGAAACCTTAATTCTTACAAAAAACGACACCTGACCGAAATCGGCTTGTCTCAATTTTAATAGACTGCAAAAACGCTCTATATTTGACAGTGAACATCTGTTACTTCTGTAGGAAATCACCATTTATGTCGGCAAATACAAAAATAGGCCAGTAATTGTCACAGTTAACTCATTTTGGGCATTTTGGAATATGTGTTGTTTTTGAATCTAAAAAATTTTCAATTATACTAATTAATCTACAATAATTAAACTATAAAACTATAATAATTAAACTCTGTTAATTAAATTTTAATAATTGAACTGCTTTAATTAAGCAGTATATGTTAAAATATATTAATTAACTAAATTATAGTAATTAAAATATAATAATTAACTATGTAGGGGATTTATTCGGGAATTAAAATCTAAAGGAAAGTTTTATCAAAACAAATATAACATAATTTTATGACAAACTGTTATATAAAATACGTCATAACTCGACATATACAAATATAATTACAAATAGACAATAAAATATTAATTTATAACTCCAATATTTCGGACACACGTCACAACTTTTGATTAACTGTTAAAAAAGCGATTCAAATATAAAAAAAGACTTTTAATTCAAACTATAGAGATCCTGAGCCTCCGGTCGAAATCTCAGTGATTTGGAGGCGCTACTTGGAATTTCCTAAGAGGAGGATCCTGCCCATAGGAAAAAAGACCTGCGTGTCCCCTCGAGATTAAGTTTATAATCTCTGCATAGTTTATTATCAAACTAATGTTTAATAATTATTAAATAACTAACCTTGCACATGGTTGCAATTTAAAATAAATTGCCGACAAAGTTTTATGTACAGGATGTTTTTAAATAATCAATTAAAATTGGCAAAAATATGAATTTATACGAAGCGTGCCAATATTGACGAAAAAGAGATTAGAACAAGAAAAAGGAAGCTAGAATAAACTTGCATAATTATTTTTATTTATTTTTTATGAAACATGTGAAAAAAAAATCTGAAGCCTATTCTGTGCTCGCATCGCATTATTTATTTTATAGTGATGCATCGCTATCCTGTTTCCACATTGCAATTGTTATAAATTCTTTTTAAAGGGTTAAACAAAAAATCATGAACAACGTTGCAGTTATTTGCCTAATACTAGCTCTTATAAAATTTGTACTTCTTTGTTTCGCTGTTTTTTCCCTTAAGAGAGGCAATTTATGTTTTATATTCTTACAAACTTACTGTTCATAATTATTTACCATATTACATTATCATGCTTTGTCAAAGTTAATCATGATCATAAATTTTAACCGGCTCTCCTTCATTATTTTATGTTGTTTTTCACTTTCTCCCAATCCCAGTTTTTCGATAATCCTTTGATTTTAAATTTAAATTCAAACGATTAAAATTTATTTTGGGAAAGTTTGGCGAAAATAGGATAGGGTTTTTAAATATAGCTCTTCCTTTTCATCAATAAATGACTGAATTTTTTTCTTAATTAAATTATTTTCTTGAATTTTGCAACGCATTGGTCAATATGGATGCATTTTTCATCACATCATAAAGGTGTATTTTAATATAATAAAATAAAATAATTAACTGAGATAATTTTGCCGACTTTCAGATTCATTCTTAAGATTCTTCTTCATTGTTTAAAAGTAAATAAGTTTAATCCCAGATTAAATAATTTTTAAATAGCATCATAAAACATAACCTTAGTTTTTTTTGTCGTGTTTTTGATAGTTTAGAGAATTTGTAAATTATTTATGCATTTGAGCAGATTTGGCAAGTTTTCTCAATAAAATAGAAAAATATTTTCTAATTCATTGTCTGCTGTTTAAAATTGCAAATTAATAGTTCATTCATTATAGAAAACAAAATGATTTTTCAGTTTTGAAATACAATAAAAAAAAAGAATGGCGGATAAATCGTTGTAAACGAGAACGATTGCCTACATTTTACACCAAATGATTGTAAAAGAGATTTACCAAATTAACTTCTGTGTAATAATATTCCTAATAAATAACTTAAGATTTAAATCAAAAGTTGTTTTAACGCTACAATCTTGTCGATCCATTTTTTTCCAATTAATAAGAAGAATCTATATAAGTAAGTTAACATTTTTATAAAAACTAAATTGCGATATAGTTTTCAACCACGTCCACTGACAGCGTTGTATTTCTATTACTGTTTTGTGGTGAGGATAAGGGCGAAACAGATCCAAGAATGTTCTCCTGAGTAAGCACAGCAAGTGTTGAAAATAAATTCCTATATCTGCTGTATTTTCCTAGATATAGTAAATATAATTGACCCATTTTTTGAACTATATTTTTTCTCGACGTGATGAAAAAATTGTAAATAAATCTGCGTTACAAATTGAAATAGACCCTACATAGTATAAAAATATCAATATCATAATTCTTCTTGTACTTTATAATGGCATATTTATGCACTTCTCCGCCAACAGAGTTGTTTATATTTTAATTTCAAAATTAGCATTTAGACATGGTAAATCATATAATGATGATAATAATGACAATTGTGAAGGTTAAAAGAAACACCCCTGCATGTAAATGGATAACTTAGATGTGCTCTTTTCGTGGGACGACAGGTATTTATCAGACATTAATGGTATAATGACTCTGAAATTTAAATTATGATAAAGCGATCCTCCTACACTAAGAAAAGGGCAATATTATAAGAAATAAGTACACTGAGAGTGGTGTACATACTATTGGTGAACTGTAAGTGGAAAAGGTACAAAAGTGTGTAAAAATTTTTAAATTTTTATTAAAAAATTCGGCTAAGCGCTTTCAGCCTAATAAAGCCATCTTCAGAGCCACAATCAAATTCACATTAGAGATAGAATCCAACATTATTATTGTAGATTTAACACTTATCAAAATAAGGAAACCTATACAAACTATACAACTTAATACCATTCAACTCAAACCACCCCTTTCAACATAAAATATCAGATCTCTCTTGCTATGTACACACACTAATCAATATCCCTTTTCAGGGTTAAATTATAAAAAAAAAACTAACTTATTTAAACAATTACTTTCTAACAACGGGTTCTCGCCAGACATAGTAGATAATATGATCAATAGAGTTTTGACTAGGAAGAAAGAAGCCTAGCTTTTAACAACGGTGAAGTCATATATTTATGGATCCTTATTTTGGTTGTATCTACACTGATATAGCTAAAATACTACAGAATAACGTTGATAAACTTAAAATTTGGTTTAAAACTCAAAACACCATTAAAACATTATTTTCAAAAGCAAAAGACAAGTTGTCTAGGAGTGGTATTAATAAATAAAATTGTAACACTTGTGAAGCTACCTACATCAGTAGAACAATTAGACCTTTAGAGACTCCTATCAAAGAACACCTCTCTAGACCTGCAAAATCCAACTTTGGTCATTACATTAAATTTAATAACCATAGTTTCTTTCATACATCAAACAGCAAAATTTTATACAGTGTTCCTGTTAATAACTTCAAGAAAATTGACCTACTGGAGAGAATCTGGAGATATTTAGTTCAGTAATAATCACACCTGTTATTTAATCAGATATTTTACTTATAATTGTTTTCTAACATTTTGTAACTTT